TGAAAACATCCTTCTAGTGTCAAACTCTGCACAGACAGCATTCAAACAGCACACTGTAGGAACAGGAACAAACACTGGTTTCTGAACTTAACCTTTACATATTTCTTTATTTAAACATAGAAAAATACTAAAATGCTTGAGGGGACTTAACACAGATTTGTGATGTGGCTATAGCGCCCTCTAGCCCCAAGTGAAGAGCTGTGCATGTTAGTCATTAAATGTGCTGTGCATACTGTAACACCCACAGCACTAAGTATCAAGAACTGTCAAAAGTAGTAACAGAATGCTTGGTTTACATTCATTATATTTACTGTTATAATCGTAATAATAATAATAATAATAATATTTTGGTTAAATATGGTTCTAAGGCAAAGTTCAAATCAACTACAGCCTTTGTATTTGGTGGCGTGGATCAATGTAGCATGTTTTTAGTATCAGACAGCAGGCTTTTTTTTGCTTACGTCTGGGTCATGACCTGAGAGATAAACACAAGCTTTTCAAAAGTATATGTTGATTTCTGTTCTTTGGATTTTTACACAGTACTATAGGTATAAGTATAGGGATGCAGGATAATAATTGGGGCCAGAAAATAGGACATGTATATTACTGTGTATAATTCTGATTATTGAATTATAGCAGATAAATTATTGGTTGATAATAGTTATTATTTTGAATTGTCATACAATACGTGTGATAGGCTTTATGTTCTATGAAAGCCAAAATATGTTTCTGAAGTTTTTTGATGTACTTTACTAGAAAGAATAAATGAACTTTTAAAGAGTCAGAATTGTTGTTTGTTGTTGTTAAAGGTTATTAAATCATCCATTTTTACTCTCTGCATCTCAGCATTTCTTGCCATCAGCTGTTTAAGAACTAAAGGATATGAACTTCTTTTTAGAATACTATAAAGTGACATTTGTTGGGGTCTGTAGCACTACAGTACATTATAATGCTGTTTGTCACATTTTACATTAATTAAACAAATGTTATGTTGGCATACATTTTACTTTTACTCCATTATATTTCATATTATATTTAATTTATATAACAGCCATAGTTAGTTTCTCATAAGATTAAACATATCATCAGTCTATAAAGAAAGAATACTCATCAGTATGCAAAGCTGTTAAAATGAACTCTTTGAACCTTGTCCAGCTACAACAATAAAATGCTGCTTACAGTAATAAATGTTCCTAGTATGATGCTGCAATCAAGTGAGACAGATCTTTGAAAGTAAGTTGCTCTAGTTGCTGTGGTTTGTCATCAGTGTTATAGTAGTGTAAATCAACAATAATATCATTTTAGTCATTAGTACTGTACTTGTAGTAATGTAAATTTCTAGTAGCCTATTTTTTATTGTGTAGCCTATGATAATGACATAGCACAGGCAACACAAGGGCTTTAGTTGTTAAAACATTTAACCAAAAGGTCTTAACTCATCCGTGATATTATTGGTTGAAATATAATTGGTTATTGGTTGCATCACAGTCAGGCTTTGGGGAGTAAGGGATTACATGTAACTGAGCTATGTAGTTAGGATACAAAAAAGGTGACTAATCTTTTAAAGTTACAGAAAAAATGATCAACTGTTAGTTAACTGTAACAGTTTACAGTTACATTTACATTTTGATTATTTAACAGGATTACAGGTTTACTTTAAAAATACACTGAGCACAGGACATATTTTCAATGACTAAATTTTTTTTTACGAGAATTTACGAGAGACAGTGAAGGCACCGTTTCTCTCTCCAGTCAGAGGAAATGAAAGTGAAAGGGAGCCGCTATCAATGAACCATTAGCAGTAAATAGAAGTAAATATTAGCATGTAAATGTTGCTCTGAAGAGAACTCTTTCTTGTATCATTAAAAAGTAACAGTACATGTCTGTGGTGCTTCAATTGTGTCAGAAGATCGTGTCAGACTGGAGATAATGTTCATTTTAGTGAAACAGAACTTACTACTGTGGCTGTCTGTCTGTCGCTGGAGCTCTCCCGCCTTCAGGTGCATCTCGGTGGGGATTGTCAGCGGTCTGCTCGTTAGCTGGGACACCTGGGTGGCTGTCTCTGAGGGGGTCAGAGCCGGTCCTGTTCAGCTGCTTTCTAGTGTCTCTCTGGTTGTTGTAAGGGTCCATAATGACTGACCGGCTCCTGCTGTCTGTCTGTCTGACCGACCGTACCGGTTGTCGTCCTGTTCTTAGTTCACTTTTCTTTCACATGGACTGTATAGTGAGTAAACAGCAGTGCGCTCCAACTTCCAGCAGTGGGAGGGTTTAATGCCATAGCGCCATCTGCTGGAATAACAGGCAGAGGGCGGCATATGAAGTTAGAGCTGTATTCAGTGAAGTGTTGAAAGAGATATCCAGCCATTCCTCCACTAGGAATGGTGTTTAGACAGTATTTACTCTACACTATTGCACTGTTGTCTACTGTCTACATATGTATAACTGTAGTTTATCTATTTTGTTGAGCTTATTGTGCTGTTTATTTATACTTACTGTGTGCAGTAAAAAGAGTCAGTTTCCGTGTATGTGTGCATGTTCCTTGCCAATAAAATGGATTCTGATTCTGGTTAGATATAGATTTATCTTTCTTATGGTTATTTCTGCCTTTCTTAATTTATTTTATTTAGTTTTTATTATAGCTTTTATTAAATACTATCATTATAGCTGTAAAATCTGTTTTTATTGTGTTTTATTGTATTTTCTATCATTGTATTGTATTTTTAAATGTATTTCATTTATATTCCATTGGGTCTTATCAGTCATTTGTGAAGCACTTTGAATTGCACTAAACTGTATGAAAGGTGCCATACAAATAAGGTTTGATAGATTGATTATTGTCCTGTATATGTCATATCCCTGTTTTACTACTTAGGGCATTGTTTCTCAACCTGGGGTCTGTGGACCTCTAGGGGTCATTGAGCCAGTTCCAGACAAATGTGGAATATTGTCATTTCATTATTATATAATTGACTAGAAGTTAGCCCAGTGACAGACTGTATAAGAGTGACTGTTATTCATACTTTTCATCTGCCAATCTGCAGTACTGACAGTTATGGAATAACTAAATTTGATCAGACGGGATCCCTGAGACTACAACAAATCTGGGTCAGCAGCCTGGTGTGCATCAATTTGGGGTTCCATGACACCAAAAAGGCCAAGAAGCACTAACATAGGTCTGTACATAAGACCTCAACTTTAAGCCTACTATATTGCATAATATACTCAGTATAAAGTTCATTTCTTTTTGAGCAAAACATACATTAAATGGATAGTGACAGAAGATATTATTGTCTTGTGTTATTTATCTATATGTAATATCTATTGAACAGTAGGATCAGTGACAGGTTCCTGTCCTGTTTTATGTCTTGTTTCCATCTAAAACATCTTGAGACTATTGATAATTGATTAGTCAAGTGAGTAACTATTTTGATAATCATACGTGCAAATGCAAAGAATTTGCTGTTTCCAACCTCTTAAATGTGAGGATGTGTAGCTTTTCTGTTTGTCTATAAATTGAATATCTTTGGACTGTTAATCAGGCTCAACAAGAAGTAAGCCTTCCCGCTTCCTTCTCTGCTCTGATGAGAGTTGTACATGTTCAGTACAAATTGGGCCTTCATGAGTAAATGACATTAAAAAGACAACAAAGTTTATGAACTTATCCTGGAAACAGGAGTTTAGTTGGATGGTGTTAGAGCAACAGTCTCAAACAACTGGCCTGAGGGCTATTTCTGGCCCTCCAACCTCTTTCCTATGGCCCACAACATGATGTTAAAAATATAATATAGGCCATCCCATAAAATTATTATCTTTTCAATATTTTTTTTCTAGTTCCATACCAATTTCAATTACCCCTTCATACAAAATTTCAATAAAAACAACAATTTTATCACAAAATAAGTAACATTTGTTATTATATATATATACATATTTAAATAATGGCAAAGGTCATATAAGCCTGCAAATGCATGCAAAGGGTTGATAAGACGAGACCATGTTTCAGAGCTTGTTGATTATATGGTGAGTTAGTCTCCAGAGAAAGAAAGGCAGGGCAGTTTTCAGCAAGCACAGTGTCAGAACGGATTAGCGAGTTATCAAGTGACATTTATGATCAGTTGTGCTAAAATTAATGCATATACAAATTAAACTGCTTTTTCGTAATAGAAATATTTTCAGAAATATTATGCTTTCTTGTAGTACTTGAACGTTGCAGTGGCCCCCATACAATTTGTGTTTGAGACACCTGCACTAGAGGATGTGCATTAAACTCCAACCCTTGAACCCTGTAAGACATTTGGATATCACCTTGAGCTCTGACATTTTTCACAATTTCCAGACATTATATACAGTGTTCAGTAGTTTTATTCTACAGCATGGTGGTGCTGTAAGCTAGCACAAGATAGGAAAAAATACAGGAAGTGCTGAAAGTCGTTGTTACTGCCTGTATACTGATTTGCTTCTGTAAAATCAGTAACCATGTTATGTGACTCTGATTCTTTCTACAGTCGGACACAATATAGAAACAAATAATCCATCAATTAGACTTGTCTCTGTACTTATGACTTGTCTCTGTACTTGTATTATTAGATCTTAGTGCTGCATTTGACACCATTGACCATAATAT